TCAAGGTGAAAGAGTCTTCTAACCGTAAAAGTGGAGAGTTTGAAGGGTCACGACGAAAGAGTCTAAGCGTAAAAGTGGAGAATGTGAGGGGTCAAGGCGAAAGAGTCTAACCGTAAAGTGGAGAATTGTCAAGGCGAAAGAGTCTAACCGTANNTGGAGAATTTGAAGGGTCAAGGTGACCCAACACATTTGTACAGCGCGAACCAATTTACCCGGATACATACATACACACACAAATTCCCTCCCTGCCTTCACCACTCTGTGGTCGCCCAGCACTGTTTTCGCCAGGGGCGTACAGTTTGTGCCAAGAACCTGCAGCGGGGAAAAGGTTGCACGGGTGATGGAAGCTTTCAGCTTGCACCACAGAATGAAATTGCTTCATAAGGCAGCCACACTTAGGAGGTGGTCTGTGACAGGAGTTGGCCTGTCGGGCATCTATGATCAACCTTTGCTGATCCGTGCCCTTTTTCCTCACCGTGAAGAAGCCCACTCGTGCCTTCCGGCGTCGACGAAAAGTGAGGAGATTCCTGATGAAGTGCCACGTACAGTTGAAGCCGTCGAGCTCGATCACGTCGTAGACCCGGATCCCAGTAAGGTTCCACCAGGTCGGAGTTGAGGCGGAGTGCCTCCAACTCCTCGGGCGTGCGTTTCATGAAGGTGCCGAAGTGCTCCAAGTAGCCGCGTGCCTCCGGTGGAGCCAGGGACTTGGCGTCTGTGGGCTGAAGTCGACGACGAAGAATCTTGATCTTTTCCAGGTCCGTGTCCACAAGGTGGTTGGCCTCCTGCGTATACAGGTGCGCGCGTTTGCCCAAGTCGGGCAAGGCGGATGCCTCCGAGATTTCGGGGGGACATTCGCCATACTGGCCCACCCTCCTCATCACATCATCCATCATCCAGGTTTGCACCGAGGTCAACGGCAGCGACGAAGAGGTAGTCGGCGAAGTAGGTACCGCAGCAAGCTTATTCAAAGAGCGGAGAGCCGCGTCAGCTCGCTGGAGCAGTTTGAGCCGGGCTGGAGTCGTAGAAGGAAAAGTCGAACCCAACCGTGGCAAAGGAAAAGGGTCGCCATGCTTTCTGTATCGAGAGGCGACTCGAAGATTGAATTCAGGCCATGCATCTGCCGGTGCTGGAGGGACGGGCCCGGTCATCACCGGCTTGGACCCGCCCCGACAAGATTTCACTTGCCGCCCCCGGCGCCTCCCGTCGAGGCGCCGGCTCCTGCTCCATCACCTGGTTGATCTTTGCCTCCCTTCTTTTTCTTCTTCTTGCCGCCCTTGCCTGTCTCCTCGGAGCTGGACTCATCACCAGGAGCCCGACCACCTTTCGTGCGAAGCTGCCGGCGTTCCTGACGAAAGAGCCGTTCTTGTTTCCAGAGCGAAGCCCTTTCTTTAAGGCGGCCAGACACCCGCTCTGAGAACTTGCTGGTAGAAGCCCTGCCATCGGGAAGAATGGCCGTGCCACTGATGATGTCCAAGCCTGAGAAATCGGGCATGTTGGGGTTGCGCTCCACAGCAAGCTCAGTCTGGATGGCCCATCTGCAAAGGTGTTCTCCCACTGCCAAAGCGCTTGCGTCAACCTGGTCGTAGCTGCGCATGAGTCGCAAAGCTTCGCAGATTGCACGGTGAATGTGGGATGCACTGGCCTTGCGACTGACTCCCGAAAGTCGAAGCCACTCCGAGTGGTAGGTGAGGAAGCCCTCTTTGGAAGCAGCCACCGCCTCGTGGAACTCCTTAGCCGCACGAGCGCCAGCTATGGGAAACTCGGGGTCGATCGGCAACTTCATGAGGGTCACCGCGTCCTTGAGGGCCAAAACCTTTTTGCCTCCAGCATCACGATGATCTCCCAGGAGCCGGACATCCGCTCGGTTGAGCCCATGCCGCCGCTTCCAGTCCTCAAGGTCGCTCGCCCCCACTCGCTCCACAAACAGCTCTTCACCACCCTGAATGATGACGCCTTTTTGGGAGAATGCAAGTCCAGTGGCCTCATTTGCAAGAAGGCCCCCATCGATGGTTCTGCCAAAATCTGGGTGCCCGACTTCAGACACGACCCAGTGGTAAGTCTCGGTGTCCAAAACTGCCCCCTCGCCAAGGATTGCCGCCTGAATCTGCGCTTGTCTCTTAAAGTTTGCCAGGATGGCCCTGCCGACTGGGTCGTGGGCGTAGATGAGGGCGGCTATGTCACCTGGAAAAGGAGCTGATCGATCAAGAACACGGTGAACCTGTGCTGCTAGATCATGACGCTGAAGTTCATGATCAGGGGTGAGAGTGATCCATCGGGCTCCCTCTACCCTGTGCAGAAGAATCCCATGGTGCCATTCAAAACCTCCAGGGTCACCCGGGTAGTGCACAACCACTTGGATCTCTGGGATGTCAAGGGTCAAGTCCGCCATTTTTTAAGGTCTGCGGGTCGGGTAGGTCGAGGAAGACTGCTTCGGGATGGGGTAGAACTGGGGTTTTCTGGGATCACTGAAGCCTCCGTCGACAAGTCTGAGGAACCCAATCCTTCGGTAGTGTCTTCCTCCACACTATCAGTGAGTGCCGCCGGACTAGCCGAAGAAACCCGCCGACTGGAAGCCAACCAAATCAAAAGGATCACCAACAGGATGTCTGCTAACCCGGAAAGCTTAAGAAGCCAGCCCTGAGTCCACACCTGCCACGAGCAGTCGCTTGAAACCGCCTCCAAGGACAAGACGATGTCTCGAGTTCTTGCCACTTCCTCTCGAAGGGATTGGATTTCCTGCAGCGCTAAGGTTGAAGGAGAGGTTCGGGTTCGATCAAAGGCCCAGAATATGGCAAAGATCTCTACGACCTGCTTGCTAATCATGGGAGCTTGAGGCAAAAGATCTGAGCATGCACATAAGCTTCCATGTGATGCGGGCTCCCCCCGCTTTCTAGCAGGAGAATTTACACATGTCACGACAGATATACATACATACATACATACATACATACATACATACCTACGTACATACATACATTCATACATACATACATACATACATACATGCATACATACATACATGAGAAAATACATTTTCTCATCCGCACTCGCACCACATGCTCGTCGCTTCGTCGCGGATCACCGTTTTGTCTTCGTCTATCTCTTTATACGCGTCTTCTTATTTCGCAGGGCGACAGCTTAATATCATATCATTTAGATCCAGGCTAAACTACACATGTGGGGTTCTCCGGTCCATTAATCTCTTACGGGTGGTTGATGAGGAATAAGGGTATATGCATATATATATATATGTATATGTACGTATAGGATTTAGGGTTCAGGGTTCAACGTTTAGGGTTTAGTGTTAGTAGGGAATGAGGGAATATATATAGGGATTGTACATGGAGTGTATTCCTCTCTTCCCTACTAACCACCCGTCTTTCTTGGCACACATCACACCTTCTGCGCCGGCACGAACTTGTCCTGGGAGATGTTCACTGTCGGATAAACAAATGGCGCATCATCAGCTACCTGCCGGGTGCTACAGCGTGTGCTGGCTTTGCTGGCAAGGGATCAAAATGGCTTCATCTTCCCTAAAGCCCTGAACCCTAAACCCTAAACCATAAGCCCTAAACCCTAAGCCCTAAATCCTAAATCCTAAATCCCTAAATCCCTAAACCCTACACCCCTAAACCCTAAATCCCTAAACCCTTTGAGGCTGCAGAAGGAAAACCAGCGAGCGGCAGAAGCCTCCAACCTCGGCTCTGCACCATCAGGGTCCTGCATCCGCCGAGTCTGAAACCCGAGACTTGTTTATAGCTTGGGTCATTCCCCCTTACAGTAACTGTTACCACGATGGGTTATAGGAGTTATAAGAACCCTTAATAAGGTCCCTTTAAGGACAGTTACTGGGAGGGGGAACGACCAAATTTATAGCAATAGTAAGAACAATAATCATTGTAATGATGGTAATAATGCTTAGGGTTTAGGGGTTTAGGGGTTTAAGCAATAGTAGTAAGAGTAAGAATAGCAATCCTAGCAATCATCGAAATGATAATACTGATAGTAATATTTAGTAGTAATCATGGCAATACTAGTGATAATACTTGTTGCAGTAATACGAATAGTAATAATGATAATGGTAGTACTACTTATACTAATAATAGTAATAAGAATAATGTCAGTTGCTGACAAGGCTGGGTCCGGCTGTGGCCGTAGGGACAAGCCCAGGGCGAGGAGCGAGAAGGCTGTAAAGATGTCTAGCCACGACCTTGGACTTGAATATCTGAAGCCTAAACCTTACATATACCTGTGCATGCATATATATATATATGTATATATGTACATATATATATACATACACACATCTTCATACATCTACATATTTATATACACATATATATAGATACACATATACATATGTATATACATATACATATATATATATATCCGAAATACCCTTATAAACCTACACGTATACGTATCTGTATCCCTATCCTTAGAGGCACATGTTTGTTGTCACCTCAATCTCCGGCTCCTGAGAGTCCCGCCTTGCGGCACGCATACTTCGATTTCCCAGACATGGCGAAGCTATTGCCCGAGCCACGCGCAACAGGTAAGACACATGGCTGGGTTGCTGCTAAGGAACTTAAAAATAAGTTTACCATGTTATGTGTATTGTATATAGCAAATGATGATAGGGTTTCCTTTAAAAAATGTATGGTTGGAACATGGCTCTTGACACAGACTACGGAATCTAAACCCTAAACCCTGTTCTCAGGGCGAAGTCTTAATCCCCTCACCCTAATATTCAACCCCCCCACCCCCCCTAATAGTACATACTCCCAATATAATATAGTCTGCCACAATGGGGAGTATTGAATGATGCTAAATACTCCAAATATGCTATAATATATCACAAGATGACGATTACGACCTGCCCACCACAGAACCCAGGTCTCACTGGCGTTCATGTTGAAAACCCTTTTCTCAGGGATTTAGGATTTCGGGATTCAGGGATTTAGGGTTTAGGTTTTAGGATTTAGGGATTTCAGGCCCTTGCTGGTGTACAGCTATACGGACAATTGTCTATATGAATCTAGTCTAAACTCCTAGTATCCCGCCTCATAACCCCTAGAACACTCCCCTATCTAATCCCTTTCTAACTCCTTTAAGGAGTTTAGACTCATACGGGATCCACTCCTCAGAGTGCTTCAAGCTTCTTTTTGCTCACGTCGCTGCGCATCTCTGACATTGAAGCTCATCTTGGACTCCACATCCCAAGATAGCTAAGGCACTTAAACGCCGTGTTCCTTGATCACCTATCCGCTAAGCCAGGCCCTCAAACAGTCATGAGTGCATAACTGCAACGCTAACCCTCACTACAGTCACTCCCCCAGACTATATGGAAGTTTCCCTAAATAAGGTAACCCACCATAATTCCCCAAATACTATAACCCTTTCTTATTACCGGGACTCCCAAGAAGGTACCCCTAATTTTGGGGAAACCCCATATACCCTCACTGCACGGCCTTGCTTCTGGGTGATCCAAACTGGGCTGATCCAAACTTCAGTTCCCAGGGTGAAACTTGCCAAGCCGCCACCCCGTCAGCTGCCGCCGGTTTGCTACCAGCTGTAACACATCATCTCACTTCTACAACTTACTGGGGGTTAGTGGAATACAGGAATGAAGTATATAGGAATTATCTAGGGAATATATTCCGTTCTTCCCAACCAACAACCAGTAAGACAAAGCTCTCAGCTGAAATCAGCTGATCAGAAGCAGTGACGATGGGCGGAACACGGCTGAGAATTGCCAGAATGCTGCTGAAGAGATCCCCGGCTGGCGCCTTCGAGCGGTAGTTTCCCAAAATAAGGGTTTAGGGTTTTGGGTTTAGGGTTGGTAGTTTCCCAAAATAAGGGGACCCCAATGTAGACCCCAAGATACTATAGTCCTCATTGTGGTAAACCCTAACCCCTCACCCGTATATAACCCCCATGTAAACCCCTATAAGCCCCTTTAAAGGGTAATTACCCCTCATTTTGGGAAACCCCCAAGTCGCATTTGCTAGTATGAAGGCCTGTCACTCCGACTTCAGCGGGACGAGGATGCCGTTTGACATAGCCTCCGACCTAGGCTTTTGGGTTTAGGGTTTAGGGCTTAGGGTTTGGGTATAGGGTTTAAGGTTTAGAGTATGGGAGTCAAAAGCTTTCGGGGATTAGAGCTTAGGGTTTGGGGTGGCTAGCAGATACTCACGAACTTTCAGGATTCTTAGGGGTACACGCAGGGGCGTCTCTAGGTGCAAGAGCTCATGCCAGGATCTAGGGAACTGATGATCAAAGGACTCAGAGGAATCATGTAATCCCATATTATCCCTATATAACCGATTATAGTAGTTTCGATTTTCTTTTCCATTATCCCTATACAAGCCCTATATAAGATAATCCCTATAGTATTTTCCATTTTCTCTTCCATCATCCCTAGATTCCCCTATATAACCCCTATATTCACCAAATTAACTGTATGATCCCGGTTCACAGATGGTTGGGAGTGCTGGTGACAAACCCCCGAAGCTGTCAATGTTATTGCTGTCGCCAATCTCCGTGGTGCTGACAGTCAGCGTCCTCAAAACTATGGTCCCCTTGTTGGGTACCCTAAATATTAGGTGCCGTATTATAATAGGGATCCAAAAAGGGACCATAATTTTGACAACCACCCATATAGTAACAGTCATCGGTTTTGATGTCAGATCCCCGCAATCAGAGAACCCCGCCACCCACACCACCAGGGGACAGAGAAAACCAGCATACTACCAAGGGGAAGGGAGGATGTCTGAACAAGGCTGCAGACTGCAACGCCATATCAACTCCAGTTGTACCTACATGCTCCCCAGATACGAAACTTGATAGCGGCCTGGCCAAACATGAAGATATCCTAAATGGAAGGGTTTAGGGTCTAGGGTTTAAGGTTTCATGTATGCTGTGCACAGTCGAAAGTTGCGGCTGTTGGTGTTTGGATCCTTGAGCATCTTGAAGGCATTTACAACTATCAGTAGAAACTCTTATGGTTTACGGTTTAGGCTTACGGCTGCAGGAACACAGAACCAAAACTCCAAGTCGTCCTGGCTCGCGGCTTCTGGACCTTGAGGGCTGTTGAATTCGAAGTAACCCTCAACCCTAAACCCTATTGAAAAACCTCAAGGATCCACCTTTGCAAAGTATGGTTGGCGAGGCATTGCAGATCTCATGTATGGACATTTCATTCAAGTGGATGTTTTCGTCCACAGAGATGTCATTGAAGCAGATGGTTTCATGTTGAAGCACGCAGCTGATGAGTTAGAAGCATTTAGAGCCAGAAAGAGAACAATATATTTTTGTACATGCATACATATGCTTATTCTGCCAAAACCTATACACATACACGTACATATACATATACACATACATTGGTATGTGTGCGTGTGCGTCTGTATTTGCACTGGCTGAGCCCAAAACCCAAAACGGAAAAAGTCTGAAATCTCCATATTACTATTACTAGTACTACTACTCTTAATATTACTGTTACTAGTACTAGTACTAGTACTATTAAGCCCGCCTAAGCCCTAAACCCAATTAAAATTTCTCTTCGTATTTTTATTCATACTACTGAACTCTCGCACGTCAGGTCTCAGACCCTAAGGCCTGCGCTCTTGGGCTCAACCAGAATCTTCCTGCCCCGTCGGACAAGCTTCTGGCCTTTGGTTAGCTAGGCATGACCATGAAGGAATGGATCCTTTTCGTAACCCATTACGGCATTAGGGGCTTAGAGTTCAGGGTTTCGGGCTTGGGTTTAGGCAGGAACGGATATACAACCCCACTAGAATACACTCCCGGAAACTAACATGGAAACCCAAAAGGGACCCTATGAAGACTACAGTCCCTCTAAAAGGAGGCTATATGGGTTTCCATGTTAGTTTGGGGGAGTGTAGTTTCCATCTTCTTTTCCATTCCTTCATTCCCAGCCAACCAAAGGCCAGGCTTAGGGGGTTCTAATCAAGGCCTGCCTAGAATCATGTTTTCTTACTACTGTTGTACGACTAGTATTGCTAAAAATCCTGTTTTATTTAGTACTATGACTATGACGTGATTACTGATGTTCCCGAGTTTTGGCTGGTCCAGATCTCGATCGGATTTGGAATGCTTGATCTGGTGCCAGCCGGCGCCCTAGCCTTCGCTTAGCGCTGGCGCACTGTCATGGTGGACAAGGACACGGGCATGTGCCCTAAGTGGTAGCTTCCCTAAATAGGGGGACCCCGTCCTAAAGTCCTTATTATAAGGACTCCCAAAGAGGTACCAAAATTTTGGGAAAGCCCCAAATCAAGCAAGGCACCTAGACAAAAGAGCAGGTAGAGCAGGCTTCTGTCCACAGCTGCACCCTTTCTGTATGGCTCAAGGAATTTCTGAAACGCTCCTTATGACTGTTGTTGTCAGATCGTCCACAGGTGATGTAAGGCAGGTTGCTTTCTCAAGTTCTCTGCAGGACTACCCTTGCCTTACCCTGCCCTATCCTGCCGGCCTCAGTGACCAAAGATACCATTGAGGGTGCGCCGAATCGTGCCCATCACGGGCCGTGTGGCGTCCTTTCCGCGGCTCTAAGGGTAAGTACCCGAGTCTATGAATGATTGGTCTTTAAGTCTACGACTACCTACTTGGGGATGCTCCTATCCACTCTCTACGTAAGAAAGAAGCATGTGCTCTGCAATTAAGCATAAGTAAATATCCGACACCAAGCTTGCCTATCTTTGATGGGTGCACCAGGCCGTCCACCAAATAAAAGGGCACTTGGATATCCTAGGAATATGCATATTTGGGTATCGTCCACAGGAATGATATTACCAAATAAAGGGATTCTAGGATTCTGGGATTATGGAAACGCCTGCACTTGGCAGCGATAGCTGTTCAACCAGTGATGATAGGCATTATGGGGGACCCCAATATAGACCCCTAAATCCTATAAGAGTCCTGACGCCCCATAATATGGTGGCTTCCACAAATTGGCGGTCCCTTTCTGCACCCCGCAGTAACCCCCTTTTCATGTTTCTGAAGCCCACTGGCCTCTCATAACTCTTAGATCCCTAGCCTGAAAGCCTGAACTCTCCAAACCCACGTAGGGGAGTATGCAATCCCTAAATAACCCCGTTTAAGGAATTCAGAAACTAAACACTCAACCCTACGTAACCCCCCTTTCAGGAGCTTAGACTCTAAATCCTAAACCCTAAGCCCTATATAACCCTCAATCCTATATACCCTAAACCCAATATAACCCCCCTTGAAAAGGCTCAACCCTAAACCCCCCAAGCCCTAAACCCTCAGCCCTATGTAACCCCCTTTAAGGAGTGCAGACTCTCAACCCTCAACCCTACACCATAGATAACACCCTAAAACCCCAAACCCCATATAATCTCCCAAAAAGTCCCCTTTAAAGGAGTTGGGACCCTAAACCCTAAACCCTAAAACTCTACACCCCAAACCCTAAACCCCTAAACCCTAGACCTCTAAACCCTTTAACCCCAAATCACTAAATCCCAAAACCCTAAACCCTACATAGTAGTTTCCATGTTATTTTCCATTATCCCTATATAACCCCAATATAACCCCAATATTCTTTTAGAGATCCCTAAACCCTTAACACTAAACCCTAAATCCCTAAACCCTTAACC